AGTTTTGGAAAATATGTGTATTTAGAAAAAAAAATATATCTCAAGCTATGCAGATCAAAAGTTCTATTAGAATAAGACTCAAAATATCATGGGATATATATATTAAAATAATGTATTTGAAATATTTTAGAGTTGTCTAGTTGATCAAGTAGTATAGATGATCGATCCCCACATGTCTTCGACTATGGGTGCAAACAAGTCAATCGGGCTTATGAGCTTAAACTAGCTCGCGAGCAGAGCTTATTGAATTTTGAGCTCGAGTTCGAGCAATGTTTTCGAGCTCGTGAAATAATTAGGCACAAGTTCTATCATACTCTTAACACACTCACCCTTGTCCATTCAACATTATTGAACTCACTCATAGGCAACTCTTTGAAAGCCTTCTAACCTTGTTGTCCTTCAGTCAATCAAGAGACGACATGGGTTTATATTAGCACCTAGCATTGTACAGGTATTCTGTGTAGCGTTGTACTTTTTATTTTTTCAGTTGTCTACTATTTTATGTAGCTCTCAGAACTATATAACCTATAGGAGATTAGTAGTGGCATAGCCGGGTTCTTTTTTGGGTGGGGGATGGGGGATGGGGGAGGGCAAATTATAAAATTAAAAAAATACTCTCAATATTTTAAAAAATATTATTTTTCATAATAATCCCTAAATAAATAAACATAAGAGGGGAACTTTAGCAATGCATCAATGTATCAAAAAAGAATGTCAATCTAAATATGAATATTTAAACTCACTTCAATCAAAGATTGCGATCCTTCTTATGTCAACGTAAACAATGTTCACCATTATAATTTACACAGTTTAAGAATATATTTTCTAAGAGCTCAACCTTTTTCTATCAAATTAGGAGAAAATATATTTAAATTTAGAAATATTCTTTTTGGAAAGAAACTAAATCTATATTTTGCAAGACAATACAACTCTACTTTATAATATCATCTACAAAAGCATCCTCTAACAATTATAATTAAAACATCATAATTAAAATCAAATTATTCTTCTTTTACCCACAAATGTGAAATTTGAGGGAGAATTGATGCAAGTCCCTTCAATAATTTTTTTATTAATTTTTTAAACCAATATTTTGTCAAATGATATCTATTACTCCTTCTCAAGAATTACAATATTCTTCATTCCACTCATTCTTCTATATTTTCTCTTAATTTGAAGCTAAGGGAACATTTGATATCATAAATAATTAATAGTTAGACTTTTGAAATTGAATATGAAAAAAAATTGTATTGTTTTTTTTTTTTAATAAAAGATTTTATTTCATAATTGAAAAGGATAATACAAACATAAGCCAACAAGCCCAAGACACGCAATCACAAAGCTGAAAATGCCACAGTAGGCTAAAGATTTCCAAGTAATAAGAAAAATAAAATAAATAAATAATGAAAGAAAACAAAAAGAGGAATGAAACCCATCAGACTCAGAAAAGCCACCCAGTTGTCAAGCTTGGATCATCCATTGGAGGTAGAAATTAAGAAGTCCCAATACCAACTAGATAACCACCAAGGTTGTCAAGACAAGCAAGGTCAACAAGGGTGGCGTGCAAGAAACCTGCCTAATCATAGTTTGACCTCATTGCCTTGCCTGAATCCAACCAAAAGCCAAAACCCACCAGCTACCAACGACAACATAAGCAAACAAAAGCCGACCAAATAGAGAAGCACAAAAAAAAAAGAACACATAACACCCCACCAAAGAGGATTCATACCAAGTCAAAAAGAAACCAAACCACACAACATCAATTAGTTCCGTTTAGATTTACGTTTACGTTTCTTGCCACCAACAATGAAAAAAACTTTCTCAACAATGCGATTCACCTTCAAGTTAAACATCGCGTTAAACTCCTCCTCATGCACATCCAACTCCTCTCGTACATCCCCACAAGAGTGGGACTCATCAAGCTAATCAGAATGATCCACACTAGTATCATTCAAATTGATCGCTTATTTAGCTTTCATATCCTCATCAGAAATGACAATAACCGGAATTTTAACCATTTGCACCAATTCTTCTGAAACCATCAAGGAAGGATCGGGAGTAGATAAAGATGGTTCATATGAGTAAACAAGCAAATCACCAGTAGAATCATTCGAACCACCATGTTAAAATTATACATGCCCATGTTATCAACTTCTAAATTAACTTGAAAAGAAATAGGAGCTAAAGAATCCTTCACACCAACAGCAGGAGTAGCACCCTCACCATCCTCATGACCATCAGAAATAACAATACAAACATCCAAATTCTTTGGAACAAGTTCATCAGCCTCCATAACAACTAGAATAACTAGAAATTCCACAAGGGCATCCAATAGCCCACCATCACAAACAGCCAAGGGAAGCCCCACAAGACCAATATCAATGGCAATAAAATGATCAACAGCCCCAACTGCCTCCACCCTAAGATCAGAATCCACCCCATTACCAGCAATAATGAGGGCCTCATTACTACACGTAACATGACACAAAGGATTAGAAGTAACAGCACCAATATTTTCATCACCAACAATAATTTTCACAGTACCAGCTTCATTCCCAACAATCTTAAGAGGATTAGCATAAGTAGCAAGACCATTCACCGGGACATAGGATTGGGTCTACCAATCCCTTCACACATACCCAAGCTCTTTACAGTGATCACAAAAAGAAGGGAAAGTCTCCATCTCAATAATCTGGATGTATCCAAACTTATCAGGGTCGAACCACACTTTATCCGGATACTTTTTAGTGATGTCATGTTCAACCAAGACATTCATGGCCGAGATCCAATGAAGGTGATGTTGTCCACTTTTAATGGGAGACCAAACAACGAGCCCAATTATTGAAGAATTCGGGGAGAGAATAGATGAGGTTGTAAATTAGGGAATGAAATCCGAATGCGAATAAAAGGGGATTCAACACCGATATCAAGGGAGGGAAACCATTTGGTTAATTTCATGTAGCAATTATAAACAATGTAAGATCTGTGGCAGAACACCCAGCTATAATCCAGGTCACTCATCAATTTAATCAACACATGTGAGGAATTGAGCAAGGTTACCAAGAAATCCGTAGTGAGCTTAAGGTTGAAAAAAAAACCTACGGATGGCATCCAATCTAGGACGAAGAGAAGGAAAAAAACCAACTATGGCATACTGGAAGGGTGCCACAAGTGCAAGGATCTTCTCTTCCAAGATCCACAAAGATGGTAAACCGCAAAAGGTAGTCATTTTGATATATGTAAAACAAATATCTGAGGCAGAACCAGACAAAGCATCCAAGAAAAAACATGAATTATTGGATCCATCCAAAAACCAGATCCAAGAACTGATTCGCCGCCATACATGCCACGAACAACCGGAGGGGACTAAATGGAAAACAAACGAAAAGGTAAAAAAATACAAAAGAAGAAAATGAAAACTTTCCTTAAGCCAAAGAGGTGACAACGACGGCAAAACCGCGGGGAGAAGCCCATGTGGAATAGAGCGGAATAAGCCCTAGCTCCACGAGAGAGCATCGCGAGAGAAAAGCTTATGAAATAAAAAAAAATATTGTTGTTTATGAATAATTGTCTAGCACTCATGAAAAATTTTTATGATGAGGTTGGACTTTGGAGGTCCTCATCTTTTTTTTCCCTCAAATTAATAGAACTACCGTATAATATAAATATTCAAATGACTAGAAAATAAAACAAATATCTAGATGAATTTTCGCAAAAACTTAAATAGCAAAATTAGCATTGAAACAAATGGTTCAAATAACAAAAACATTCGCCTTCCTCGATCTCTTTTGGGATCTTTGCAACATTGAAAAGCCTTTGAAACCCCAAATTGGGACTCCCAATGATTCTCAATCATGGGACAAGACACGTACTCACAAAGGTGAGACCTGAAGTTGCAAATTAGGTTTTTGTAATACTAGAAAACTTATCAAATATGTCGTTTATAAAAAAATAATAATAATAATTAGTAGAGGCTCGTGCCCGAGGGCCACCAATGTAACTCCATCGATGATGATGATGATGATGATGATGATATTAGAAGATTTTATAACTAATTATGATGTATATTCTTCCATCTTGAGATCTATAATTTTATTATGCAAGTTATAACACTTTTTTCACTCTCTCCATTCTCACGAGTCAAGCTCACTCCCTCACAAGTTTGGCCTGCTAGTAAAGTTTGATATCTCCTATGAACAAATTTGAATTCAACCCGATGAAGTTCAAAATCCTTAAATTTAATATAAAATTAATTTATAATTTTACACTAATCTTAAATTATATTTAAAAACTTTAAATCTCATTCTGATGAATATTTTAATTAGAATATCCTAACATTTTTTTTATCTTACATTCCAAACCAACACTTACTCATTCGAGATATAGTAACTTCAATGGAGCTAGCTATCCCAAATTCCCAACTCAAATAAATTCAACGGTGCCAAAGTTTTAACCAAGCTCAAGATTATTTGATGTAAGATTTGTTTGGGATAACTTTGTGAAATTTTTGTATTAAAAAATTATTTTACAAAATAATAAGAAAATTATCTCAAATAGAGAGCGAATTTTTATATTGAGCTTACTTAACTCAATCTAGATTTGTTTATTAATTTTGACCCAAATACAATTCTTTAAAAATTCATCATCATGATCAATTTTTTATTTTTCAAAATAACAATTTAGTCCATCATAATTATATTTATTACATTTGCATCAAACATAAATGAATATTATTTTTTTTATCCGACTTACATCTTAAGCTTGCTCCATCTCTAGCCGCTAAAATTCGATTTTTAAAGCACGATTCCAAAATTCACATCGCAAAGTGGAACCCACCATTCTCGCGACAGGAAGCGCTACACCTGCAGCCATTAGTAACGGCCACACCGTCTGTTGCTGCTCAGAAGACCCAAGTCCAGAAGATGCCACCACGCAAACGAAGGATCGCCGTAACCCATTCGAACACGCATACGTGGTGGCATATAAACTATAGAACTTCCCCACACTTCACCCATCAGAGACAATCTCCCACCCCAAATTTACTCTGTGGCCTTCCCTCTTTATCCTTCCTCTCAAATCAATCCATCAAGAAAGAAAGAACGATATGGCTCCGCTCGTCCTGGCAACACAAGTGGCTACAGGGCTCGGCGTAGTGGCCGGCGCGATGCTGGTGAAGGCGGCGGCGGAGGGGAGACTTCTTCCGCCAATGTCCGGCAGGGGCTCGCCGCGCTGCCCGACTTGTAAAGGTACAGGAAGGGTCGACTGCTTCTGCTCGCGGTGGTCGGACGGGGATGTAGGCTGCCGAACTTGCGCAGGCTCAGGCCGGATGGCCTGTAATAGCTGCGGCGGTTCCGGAACAGGCCGGCCCATCCCGGCTCGGATTTCGGTTCGCTCCGACCGGCCCCCTTTATAGGCTTATCATGATGCCGGCGGCGAACTTCAGATCGGATTCAGTGAAATTGTAAGGCGGCGATGTTACAGTTTGTATATGAATGAATTTCTTTGATTTGAGCTGTTGTTATTTTAATTTGATAGTGCTTAAGGAGAAGAACGAATATATTTCGAGGAAATTGATTAAAGGAGAAGAGATTAGTCAGATTCGCATGACCGGAATATTTAACTTTGATTCTTTCTGCTATGTTATATATTATTTTGGATGCTTTATTGGTGTAAGAAGTCTAGCTAGTTATGGGATTCGAGATTTTTATGTAAAAAGTTTTTTGATATTTTTCTAATTAAAAGAGGGGATTCTTTCTTTTTTTTTTCTGAAAATTTAGGCTAATTAAGATAAATTTAAATTTAAATTCTTTTAATTGAAAATCAAAGCTTTCAACTAAAATATAGAGCTGAGCTGCATATGAAAATAGGGGATTCCATTCGTGTACAATTAGGCGCCAATAAAACTTAAGCTTCGTTTGGAACAATTTTTTTATTGCTTATTAAAGCAATTTTTTAGTACAAAAATTATTAAAAAATTTACCCCCACACAAGCAAGATGAGAGCGATTCATATGAGTTGTAACGTTTTTAAGTGAAAATTAAGAAGAAAAAACACTATATGATTTACTGATTTAGTTAAAATGGCTTTACTAGTATGACTTATATATTACAAACATTATTTCTTCTAGAAACTAGAAAGACATTAATAGATTGTAGTAAGCATGAACACCGAAAGAATGCTTCCATGGAGGATGTAATAGGAGTTTTGAGGCGCTGGAGATGTAATCAAGGGACAAACAATAATCTACTTAGGCACTAAGAAAATCATCCCAAATAAAAACAGTAAAAAAACTATCTCATATGAAGCCTTAGTCTTTATATATCCTTGTATAAGAGATGATTGGTTACTAGGACTGCACACCACCAGTCTTAGTACAGATGATGGAAAAGAGTCTTGGTGGTGACAACGGTCTCCAAGTTTGATGGAGACGATGGGCATTAACATTTGTAGCAAAGACGAATGTGGGTGATGATGGAGGGCATTAGATTTCTTAGTGAGGACATGTATTTAGTTGGTGGCAAGAACATCCATTATTGTTGGAGAAGACGAAAGGTATTCATGTTTGTAGCGATACAGGCAACAATAAGGTCGTGGATGGAATGCATCAAACTTGGTCTTGATGATAGCATTTATCTTAGTGACATTGAGGTGCATCGTCATGGATGATAATAGCATAATTCAGCTTAAATGGTGATGATGGGATACATCATGTATGTTTACATTCATTGTTAACTTTCATCGTTATGGGCCTATGACAAATGTCAATGTTATTGTAAACAACAAGCACAATGAACATTATCAGTCATCTGATCCATAGCCATTTATATCACCAGGATCAAATTGATTTTTTATTTTATTTTGATCATAATCAATATTAAACAATTCCTAAATGGCCATTTTTTCCCCACATATTCTTTTAAATTAAACATTATGATTCTTTCTCAGAAAGCATTTAGGGAAATGTCATTAGAAAATGGATTAAATTAGCTTGATTTTAAAAAATAGCATGCTTGATAAGTGGAGTACAATGGGTTGTTTAAGCCCATTTATTTAGGCCCTCCCAGTTTTATTTTAAGATCAAGGTAGCCAATAAATGATGGGCTTTGGCTGGTGATCTATTAAGTACTTCTTACCCGCTTATAATGTAATATGTTTTTTCAATAAAAAATAAAATAAAATATGTTTTGAATTTTTTTTAAAAAAGTTTATTTATTTAAAAATAGAAAATAGTTTAAAAGTAGAAAAACGAAAATTTATTTTATTTTGCAGAAGCTTAGTTTATTTTCTTATTAATAAAATTGACTGTAAATCATTAATATAAGTGGAGAGAAATTTGATAATTAAGCTATTGGGCTTACACCAGCCCATTTTGGTATGGATTGTGAAAAACAAAATAGAAAAAGGGGTAGCTATCCATTAAAACATTATGGCCCAAAAAGCAGGTTTCAATACAATGCGAGCTGCTGGTTCAGGAAACGCTCTAAGAAAAAAATGACATTTGAGATTTCTTTCCAAAAAAATTAAATAAAATATTAGTTATTTCTTGTTTGAATTCTTGAACATCATTGAAATCACTTTCTTGTTCATTTGCACAACCGTTTCCTAATCCACCACCTCATCCACGATGGCTTTGATTGTTGCTGTTAAAGATTTCATCTTTTTTGGCTGATTTCAGATCTAGCTTCAGGAGTTGTTTGATAATCTTTCATTCATCTTTTTTTCTTTCTTCATAGGCTTGCAATGAACCCAATAGTTGTTCTGTTATCATCTCTTGTAAATTTTTAGTCTCCTCGATAATAGTTGTAATCAGGGACGAAGCCAGAATTTTTTTTATGCGGGGGCACAAATTATTGAATTTAAAATTACCCTCAACAACGTCCTAGTTTAGGAGCAGCATAGGCGGTTTTAAAATTTCTTTTTAAAAAAATCATCAGACACAACATAAAAAGATATAATATATGATAAAAGAAAAAACTTACAATTAAGAACCTTAAATCGTGATATTATTCTTACATATTATTTATAATTTCTTACGCCGAATCTTTATTTAAGTTGAATGAAAATGTAATTAGGAAATTTATAATATTAAAAGACATAATAAAATATAAAAAATAACATAAAGTCTTAACTTGTATTGAAAAAATGACATTTGAGATTTCTTTTCAAAAAATTAAATAAAATATTAGTTATTTATTGTTTGAATTCTTGAACATCATTGAAATCCCTTTCTTGTTCATTTGCACAACCGTTTCCTTGTCCACCACCTCTTCCACGATGGCTTTTATTGTTGTTGTTAAAGCTTTCATCTTTTTTGACTGATTTGATATCTAGCTTCAGGAGTTATTTGATAATCCCTTCTATTCGATAATCCCTTCATTTAGCTTTTTTCGTTCTTCATAGGCTTGCAATGAACCCAATAATTGTTCTATTATCATCTCTTGTAGATCTTTAGTCTCCTCAATAATAGTTGTAATACTATCAAATCTTGATTCTAATGATCGAAATTTTTTTTCAATAATAGTTACATCTTTTAGCTTCTCATCATTTCTTTTTAGTTGATTGGAAATGACAAGAATTCTTGAAAAAACTTTTAGAACAAAAGAAGGCTACAGAGAAAAAAAAAAAAAAAAGAGAAAAAGAAATAAATTATAAATTTCATTTCTCACTTTTTTTGACTTTATTCAAACTTAAATATATCATCACAATTTATATTAGTAGTTCATCATTAGGATTGTGCCAACATATTTGAATCCAATGATTATAAATAACTCTGTAGAGTATTCTTAAATCTACTATCATAAATGACATTAAATATTTATTCTAGACTTTTTTACTAATTATTCTATAATAGATTTTTGGAGTCTTCTAAAATAGATTACTCTAGATTATGTGCTTTAGTCAAAAATCCCAAAATACTAATAGGCCAAAGTTAAATTTCCAAAGGAGAGTTAACTAAATTCTCAAAATTTAATCACTTTAAACTGAACAGTTTTGACTTTAAAGTATTTAATTTTGTGTTGAGCATTTTCTTTTGACTTCGAGTTTTAGTTCAACCTAGCTAGAGCGTTCAAATATCATCCTTAATTACCAGCAAAAATTCAACCAAATTTCAACAAAGTAATTATTCTTCTGCAGTGAAATTATATCGAGTTCGGTTTATCCAATGCTGCTGCTAGCACCATAACATTATAACGACTTCCTCTCTTAAATTTTAAGATAGAGCGACCTATCCATTAATAAGTTGTTACCTAACCTCTGTTTTAATAATGTATAATGACAACCTTCTCACACTTCCTGTTATCTTTCAGATTTTTAAATCTTTAACTATAATATGATTTCATAAAGCCAAAACGCTGAACTTTGGCCGAGTTTTTGACTCATGGAGCTGGATTAACTAGCTTGCTGGAGGTCGGCCAGCCCTTAGTTAATTGGTTCGGATTTCGTTTCATCATATAAAAATAAAACTGTCAGAGATTGAATGCAGAACGGTGTCTGGAGATCAATCGGAATACGTCACATCAATAATACCAAGAGAATGATAAAGGATAAGTACAACTTTATAAGCTGACACTCTTATGACCAGTCGGCTTACATCTCCACTATACGGTTCAGCCTTAGCAGCCTTTTGCTGATAGATGGTTTAAATCTCACTACATGTTAATCTCAGCCGTCTGTGCATAACGGTTGAATCATCATCCTCTTTATATTTGGTTTTCACTTTAGCAGCAGAGCTATCATGGATACATGAAAATTGCTATTCTACTATCACTCTGTTCTTTCTTCTTCTAACCTTCTCTTGCAGGGTTCGATTCACTGTTCTAAACAGTGAATTATCACAGCAAAGGATGACTAGGCGCATTCTAATTGGTCTTGAGACGTTATTAGGAGTCCGCACAAGAATAATTAATCCGACAGAAGAATAATAATTTCAACTGCCGAGCTCAATATGAATTTTGCAGAGAATTTAAGTCATTACTTGCAGTAATCGTTTACTGAAACAATATTGAATTAGATCTCCAGCCTTTAGTTGCTGAATTAGCACTATCACAGATTTGAGCAGCCAACAAACAAAAAAAGATATATTGGTCCACAGACCACATAATGTACATTTAATGATGACATATGCTCCTAATTTTGAAAACACAACACGTTCCTTACACTCCATGCAGATTGTTGAGGCTGTACTAAGCCAGGATTTGAATTAACTTGCTTTTATTCACAAAGAAAGAGAGAGAGAGAGAGAGAGAGAGAGAGAGAGAGAGAGAGAAGCAGCTTTGATATACTTTTTACACGTGCATTCATGTGATTATACATGCAGGTCATTTATTCGTGAAACCTAAGTTTAATTGGCATGCAAGATCATGATTGCAGAACATTTTGCACAAAGAACACTGGCAATTATTTTCTCTTCCTTTTATCCATTAATCCAGAAGGAGAAGACGGAGAACTCATAATCAATCTTATAATTAGCTAGGGAGCTTTAAATTTATATTAAAAAAGAGAGATAGTTTAAGGCATGTTCTTGTAATTAGACAAATTCTTACAAATGATTGGTAGCTTTACTACTTTAATTAATAATGATGAATAAACTTCTAGCTAGCTTACAGGAAAGTGAAGAATGTGG